CTTAACTCCAGGCCCTGCATTTTTGGTGGAACCACCAAACTTATAATTAGTAGGTAACCTGCTCTATCAACTGACTGGGACCGTGGTCAGTCAGCCACCCCACCCCAAAGGAGGGGGGTAAAAATTATGAACATTTTTTTGTCCGACTGCTTTAATTTGCATCCCATAGATCGCATCCCTGAACTTCCTCCAGCAATGAATGCTGTTAACTTCCTGTGGTCTCTACATAGAAGGGAAGGGATGGAGAATAATGGAATAATCAACAATAATACAATCATAAGGATCCAGAAGCAGGCGTGATCTGTCAGTAAACAAAAGCTGTTTTTAACATTTAATTATCATCTATTCATTTATTACTGCCCTGTTGTGTCATTGAACTCAGATTGTCACAACAATACTGAAAGTATCATCAAGTTTACTCATATTGTTCTCAAAGTTTGTAGTTTTCATAATTCCAAATTCAGATGAGGTCAGCTGAATCAGAAAACACTGAAGGAATTTATTAGAACTGATGTCAGACTGTGACGTCGGACCCCAACACACGCACACACACGCCGTGGTTATGGTGACACACACTTCTTTTATTATAACTGTGGTTTCAGCTTAAACGCACGGGACACAGACACTCCTGCTCAGTAGTCGCTCTGTTCGCTTCCTCGACTGTCACTGAAACATAAGAAAAGAAACAATCAGTCACTCGTCCCAAACACCTGTGCAGCCCCGCCTCCGCCCCGCCCCGGGAGCTCACCATGCCACCCCTCCCCTGCAGTGGGCCAGAGACCACACCCGCGCCACACAGACCTTTCAGTCCTATGGATGTCTGTCAGTGGGCTAAAGATCCTTTGTTTTTATTGTAAAAAAAACAAAAAAACAAAACTAAAGTGAACAAACAGTCATTACGACTTGCGACTGGTGGTTGTCAGGCAGACACCAACTGGTGTCTGGTGTGACTGAGGCCTTACCTGCATTATATTGAGGGGAATGCAGATGTCTGAGGTCAACTGCTGTGATGTATGTATTTAGTAAAATACACAAAGGAAATCGGGATATGAGAAATAAAACAATGAAAGGCAGAAAAACGTACTGTAAATATATTTATTTATTTATTGAGAATATGAATCATTTCCCAGGTAGGGTTTGATAATGATACTGCCAAGGGAGGAGCCAAATAGGAGGACAGTGTAGCCGAGACCGTAAATGTTATTGATGAGGATGCTTTCACAGGAGAGCTTAAACAAAGAGGCATTGTCACAGAAAGGGTTAAATATGATCCACCTGCAGCGTGACAGGCGAACGCTGAGGCCCACGAGGATTGTCACCATAACGAAGATTACTGCCCAGGCCAAGACCGACAGCTTCACCACCATCCAGTTGGTCATGATGGTGGCGTACTGCAGCGGGTTGCAGATTGCCACATAGCGATCAAAAGCCATGATCATGAGTATAGTGTGAGAAGAACCTGCATAAATGTGAACACAAAAGGCCTGAATGACACAGTCTACATAGTGGATGTACCGATCTGAGCTGGCAATAAAAATATCCCTCAGCATACGTGGAAAGATTGTTGTGGCTCCAAATACATCATTAATGCTCATGTTACAGAAGAGCAGATACATGGGCTGGTGGAGGCTACTATCCAGCGTGATCAGGATCACCAGGACAATGTTGGAAAACATGATGAAGATGTAAATGAGGAGGAGGAGGATAAAGGTGGGAATGGAGGCATCTGGGCTGACCTGTAAACCTTCTAAGAGCAGGATATCTGAAGTCTGGTTTTCCATAGTGCAGAAGGTTAATTTCAACCTGGAGAGAAGACAAAAAAACATGTTTATTTTCAAACTTTAAAGGGATTTTAAAGTGTTTTTGAAAGCCACTTACAGGCAGAACTTTGTGCTATTAGAAACTGAATTTGAATAAGTTAAATTTGTATTTGAATTTCTCAGATTGAATCTGAATTGCTCAACTTGAATAAAAGCTTCTAAAACTGAATTTGAACTTAGCCTAATTTGAAATCCCATGTATTTATTTGAAAAGGTTCATCACTAAGTTGAAATAGAATTTTATATTTTGAAAATTTAATAATTACATTTGAATTTGTATTCCATTCTTCTTTAAATTTAGCTCCTGAATGATTTCAGTTTCACTTTCCACCATTCAATTTCAGTTCTACTCCCTGCTTCAGTTTTTGACAACATCTAGGTCCTTTATGAAAACCACAGAGTAATTGAGTGCCAGTTAATAGAGCTACGTTCTACCTGCGAACGCAGTGTTACAAAATGGACCTGCAGCATCTTGAGCTTGAGCGGGGCACAGATTAAGCATTCAGAAGTCATTCATCATGTCAAATGACAGATCGTATGAACAAAGAGAATTTAGAAATGTAATTATTGATAACAGTAAACAAGCACAGATAGCGTAATCTACAGCTGTTTAGAGAATGAGAAGTGTTGGGGTTTGTTTTTTTTTCAGTTTGCCATTTCAGTGATAGTCGTATATCATGTATTTTAAAGAAGGATGGAATACAAAAATTCAGTTTCAATTTAGTGATGTTCATTCTCAATCCAGTACACTGAATTTCAAATTAGGTTAATTCAAGTTCAGTTTTAGAAGCTTTTATTCAAGTTGAGCAATTCAAATTCAATCAGAGCAACCAACAAGCAGAATTCATGACTGTAGAGAAATGGCACTAGGGAAAGTTATGAAGGATCTTCTTATGGCCTCTAACAGTTGACTCACCTCTGTGCTAGTCTTGCTGGATCTCGTTACAGCTTTCAATACTGGTGCAGTGGTTTAAATCATATCTATTTTTTAAACTTTGATTTAGCTGCGTAAATGGGAAGTCTTCTTCACTGACTAAGATTAATTATGGAGTTCCACAGGGTTCTGTGTGAGGATACTTTGTTTACATTATACAGTGGGGCAAAAAAGTATTTAGTCAGCCACCGATTGTGCAAGTTCCCCCACCTAAAATGATGACAGAGGTCAGTAATTTGCACCAGAGGTACACTTCAACTGTGAGAGACAGAATGTGAAAAAAAAAATCCATGAATCCACATGGTAGGATTTGTAAAGAATTTATTCGTAAATCAGGGTGGAAAATAAGTATTTGGTCAATAACAAAAATACAACTCAATACTTTGTAACATAACCTTTGTTGGCAATAACAGAGGTCAAACGTTTACTATAGGTCTTTACCAGGTTTGCACACACAGTAGCTGGTATTTTGGCCCATTCCTCCATGCAGATCTTCTCGAGAGCAGTGATGTTTTGGGGCTGTCGCCGAGCAACACGGACTTTCAACTCCCGCCACAGATTTTCTATGGGGTTGAGGTCTGGAGACTGGCTAGGCCACTCCAGGACTTTCAAATGCTTCTTACGGAGCCACTCCTTTGTTGCCCGGGCGGTGTGTTTTGGATCATTGTCATGTTGGAAGACCCAGCCTCGTTTCATCTTCAAAGTTCTCACTGATGGAAGGAGGTTTTGGCTCAAAATCTCACGATACATGGCCCCATTCATTCTGTCCTTAACACGGATCAGTCGTCCTGTCCCCTTGGCAGAAAAACAGCCCCATAGCATGATGTTTCCACCCCCATGCTTCACAGTAGGTATGGTGTTCTTGGGATGCAACTCAGTATTCTTCTTCCTCCAAACACGACGAGTTGAGTTTATACCAAAAAGTTCTACTTTGGTTTCATCTGACCACATGACATTCTCCCAATCCTCTGCTGTATCATCCATGTGCTCTCTGGCAAACTTCAGACGGGCCTGGACATGCACTGGCTTCAGCAGCGGAACACGTCTGGCACTGCGGGATTTGATTCCCTGCCGTTGTAGTGTGTTACTGATGGTGACCTTTGTTACTTTGGTCCCAGCTCTCTGCAGGTCATTCACCAGGTCCCCCCGTGTGGTTCTGGGATCTTTGCTCACCGTTCTCATGATCATTTTGACCCCACGGGATGAGATCTTGCGTGGAGCCCCAGATCGAGGGAGATTATCAGTGGTCTTGTATGTCTTCCATTTTCTGATGATTGCTCCCACAGTTGATTTTTTCACACCAAGCTGCTTGCCTATTGTAGATTCACTCTTCCCAGTCTGGTGCAGGTCTACAATACTTTTCCTGGTGTCCTTCGAAAGCTCTTTGGTCTTGGCCATGGCGGAGTTTGGAGTCTGACTGTTTGAGGCTGTGGACAGGTGTCTTTTACACAGATGATGAGTTCAAACAGGTGCCATTCATACAGGTAACGAGTGGGGGACAGAAAAGCTTCTTACAGAAGACGTTACAGGTCTGTGAGAGCCAGAGATTTTCCTTGTTTGAGGTGACCAAATACTTATTTTCCACCCTAATTTACGAATAAATTCTTTACAAATCCTACCATGTGGATTCATGGATTTTTTTTCACATTCTGTCTCTCACAGTTGAAGTGTACCTCTGGTGCAAATTACTGACCTCTGTCATCATTTTAGTGGGGGAACTTGCACAATCGGTGGCTGACTAAATACTTTTTTGCCCCACTGTACATGCTTCCCTTAGGCAGCATCATTAGAAGACATAGCATACATTTACACTGCTATGCAGATGACACCCAGCTCTATCTGTCCATGAAGCCAGATAACACACACCAATGAGTTAAACTGCAGGAATGTCTTAAAGACATAAAGACCTGGATGGCCGCTAACTTTCTGCTTCTTAATTCAGATCAAACTGAGGTTATTGTACTCGGCCCTGAAAAGCTTAGAAATATGGTATCTAACCAGATTCTTACTCTGGATGGCATTACCTTGGCCTCCAGTAACACTGTGAGGAACCTTGGAGTCATTTTTGACCAGGACATGTCCTTCAATGCACATATTAAACAAATATGTAAGACTGCGTTCTTCCATTTGTGCAACATCTCTAAAGTTAGAAATATCCTGTCTCAGAGTGACGCTGAAAAACTAGTTCATGCATTTATTACTTCCAGGCTGGACGACTGTAATTCATTATTATCAGGAAGTCCTAAAAACTCTGAAGAGCAGATTTCTCCTGTTTTGGCTTCCTGTTAAATCCAGAATTCAAAATCCTGCTCCTCACATACAAGGTCTTAAATAATCAGGCCCCATCTTATCTTAATGACCTTGTAGTACCATATCACCCTATTAGAGCACTTCGCTCTCGCTCTGCAGGCCTACTTGTTGTTCCTAGAGTATTTAAAAGTAGAATGGGAGGCAGAGCCTTCAGTTTTCAGGCCCCTCTTCTGTGGAACCAGCTTCCAGTTTGGATTCAGGAGACAGACACTATCTCTACTTTCAAGATTAGGCTTCAAACTTTCCTTTTTGCTAAAGCATATTTTTTCTTTCCACATTACTGGTAACAGCAAAACTATTTGAAATGACTTTTGCAATTTGTATTTAACCCCAAACAAAAATGAAGATGGAACACACAAAACTGGAGCTCGAGCCAAAAAGAAATAGCTCAAAATAAAATTTAAATTTAAATGTTAAATATCTATTTTGGTGATAGAAATAGGATCAAAGAGATTTTCCAAAAATTGTGAACTGATGTTCCTCCGGTGAGTCATCA